AGAGTGCGTGAGAGTGCGTGAGAGTGCGTGAGAGTGCGTGAGAGAGAGCGTGTTCTGCATTGAGCGTTGTGTGTGTGTGATCAGTCTGTTGTTGTTGTTGTTCAGGTGCGGGCGGATCACGCGAGGATCATGTCGTCGTATCCCTCCACAGCTTCTGCTCCAGGTGTGTTTTCTCTCCTGCATTGACCCGATGCTCGTGTTCTGAACTGAATCACCATGTTTACACACACTTAAGGAAACGGTTGCAGAAGGACTTAATGTTTTAAAGCTCACAGCGAGCAGCTTTTTGCTGTGCATGTAAACACAACCGCAGCAGATGATGTCTGCAACATGATGTTTCTGAAACACAGTTTAGTTCGACTGACACACAGCTATTGAGATTTATTTGGCTGTATAATATACTGACGCACATCTGATTTTCTCCCAGCTGTTTGTTCACATCTGTTATAACGCTAGTGGTCTTTCGAGTGTGTGTGTGTGTGTGTCAGTCAGGTCTGTCATCATTCGCTATGAAGCTCGTCTTGAGTGCTTCTGAACTAATGCACTGTGTTTTTGTTCAGTTTACCCGACACATGGATACTCTGCAAATAACAGCTTCGGCAGTCAGTCGTGGTACAGCTACCCGAGCTCCTATCCCACGTACCCTGGTGCCTTCTGGAACAACTCCAGCGGAGCGACCGGCCAATCACAGCTCCACAGCGGCGCGGTGCAGTATCCGATGTGCAAACAGAGTGGCTTCCTGCTGCGGGTGAGAGTCACTGCCATTGAGTACAGCTGTCCTGAACACTGCCGACCTCAGCCACTCGCTAACTAAACTAGCTCTGTGTGTGTGTGTGTTGTGTGTGTGTGTCAGGATGAGGATGCAGCGTCAGACGGAGCAGACGTTGGCTCCAGTCCAAAGCAACACTCTGCAGAAGAGGAGCAGAAAGCACAGGTGTGCGTGTGTGTGTGTGTGTGTGTGATTGAGTGACTGTCAGACTGTCATTATGAGACTCACCTGACGTGTGTGTGTTTGTCCTCAGATCTCCACAGATGTTTTGGAGAAGGACGTCAGTGCAGCAGACGACAGCAGGTCTCCGTCTGTTTCTGTGTTCAGTCATGTGCTGTAATATTTCCTGCGGTCTTTATGCTCGTATGTTAGGGTTTCGCTCTGTCACATGATCGTACATTGATTCTCCGCTGTATCTGAATGCGTTACAGGTTTCGTTTGGTTTAACATTGTGTGTTGTGAAGTCATCTGGGTTTAGGGTTGAGGATGGGGTAGTTAGTGACACGTGAGTGACTTGAGATGTTTCTTGTGTTCAGGACATTGATGCCGCCGCCAACAGCTCCAATCAGAAAGAGACCGAGAGAAGAGACCTGCAACAAACCCCTCACACACACAGGTGTCTATATACACAAACACTCACATACCCTCACACACATACACACACCCTCTCACACACACA